TGTGAGAGGTGACAGATTATTAGCATGGGCTGAGACACGCAGCATAATAATAGGTAACACCTGGTTAAAACAACATCCTCGAAGATTGTGGACTTGGAAAATTCCTGGTGATAATGTCCGCAATCAGATTGATTATATTTTGATTTCAAGAAGATTCCAGAGCAGCTTAGTTGGAGCAAAAACTAGACCAGGAGCAGACTGCTTTAGTGACCATGTTCCAGTTGCAGGTAAAATTAAAATAAAACTAAAAAACATTAGAAAAACACCACAGAACATCAAGTTAAATTTAGGAATTCTTAGAACGGATAAAGACATTAAAGATCAGTACAATGTCACTGTACAAAACCGGTATTATGCAATGGAAATTATACAGACTATTGACGAACAGTGGGATATGTTGCGTGAGTCAATTCAGCAGACATCTAAAGAGACAATCCCACCAACCCATAGAGTTGCAAAAAAGAAACGGATGTCAACCGAAATTCTGCAGATGATGGATGAAAGAAGGAAGAAAAAGAATGATAAAGAAGAATACTCTAGAATACAAAAAGAAATAGTGAACAAATGCAAAGTGGCTAAAGAAGCCTGGCTGAATCAAATATGTACAGAGATTGGGGAAAACAACAGGAAAGAATCACATTCCATGTCATCATCATCATCATGAAGCAGGACCTTTGCAGAACGTCGCTCTCATCACAGTCTGCCTGTAAGAAACTCGGTCTCTTGTTCCATGATGAGTTTCTTGAGATAGTAATGTGGTAGTTTCCCGTTGCTTTACACATCCACATGGCTTTAGACCATGTCCTCAGCCTTCAGCAACCTTTTCGATTGCTAGGGCGAGTGAGTGCCCTGCTCTGTGCTGCTCCTGCTAACAGCAGAGGGCACCCTAGAGGTGTCCACTTATCCCGGCGGATACTCGGTCCCCATAGCTGCGTTGGCCACACCGCAGTGTGTTTACCGTCCTCTACCGCGTGGAGCTGCAGTTGGGATTTTCCCTTCACTGAGATTTGAGACCAGAATGGAATTTCCCAAAACTCTCCAGTACTTTCAGAGGACACATTCCATGTACCAACAGATAAATATGTTAACAGGAAAGATGACCCGTAACAGCACTGGATGTTTGAAATCAAAAGATGGTGACTTATTAATGGGACATAGTAATATAATTAACAGATGGACAGAGTATATAGGTTAATTGTATGATGATAAAAGACCAGATGTAGAACTGTAGACCAACAATAATGGTCCACCAATAATGAATGCAGAAGTTGAAGATGCAATACATCATATAAAGAAAGGAAAAGCACCCGGGCCAGACAACATCTCACTGGAAGAAATCGAAGCACTGGGAGATTTTTGAATTAAAATAATACCTAAACTTTTAAATTATTTTTATAACAGTGGGTATATTCCAAATGACCTTTTAAAATCCATATTTATAGCTTTGCCTAAAAAAAACCAGGCACTAAAAAATGTGAAGACCATCGCAGAATAAGTCTTATGAGTCACATGACTAAGATTTTACTGAGAATAATTATGAGAAGAATAAGAAACAAAATTAAACCAGAAATCAGCGATGAACAATGTGGGTTTTGTAGAAGGAAAAGGTACAAACAATGCCATATACATCCTAAGGACATTGTCAGAAAGAGCTATAGAAGTAAAGATTGATTTGTACATGTGCTTCATAGACTATACAAAAGCATTTGACTGTGTGAAGCAGGAAGAAGTAATCAGGCTGTTAGAAAAATTAAACATTGATGGGAAAGATCTACGAATAATAAAGAATATGAATTGGCAGCAAACAGCAGCTATTAGAATTAACAACTGTTTAGGTACATATAAAAGCATAACGAGGGGCGTACGACAAGGATGTGTACTGTCACCTGATTTGTTTTCAATATACAGTGAATATATAATGAGATCTTTAATTGGTATGCCCGGATTTGAGGTCAGTGGGCACAATATAAACAATTTACGTTAGGCTGATGATACAGTTTTGATAGCAACAAGTCATACAGAACTACAGGAAATGATAGACATTGTGGTGTTAGAAAGTGGAAGAATGGGCCTCAGTTTGAATAATGGGAAGACAGAAGTAATGGTGGTATCAAGGAAACGAATTATTCCTAAGTGTGTAATGAATGTTGATGGTGTTATTTTAGGACAAGTTCAGAAATTTAAGTATCTGGGCACATGGATAACATCAGATGGAATATGCATAACTGAGATAAGAAACAGAATAGGACAGGCAAAAACTGCATTTTATAAAATGAAAAACATCTTGTGCAATATATCCTTGTCATTGAGAGTTAGAAAAAGAATGCTTGCTTGCTACATATATCCAATTTTAACATATGGCTGTAAATCCTGGACAATCGATAGGCAGGCCAGACAATTTCTAGAGGCCTCAGAGATGTGGTTTACAGAAGAATGCTTAGAATACCTTGGACAGCCAAAAAGAGCAACCAAGAGGTTTTGAAAGAGGCGGGAGCCTGAAGACAACTTATCACAGACATCAGAAGGAGACAGTCATCATTTTTTCGGCCATGTTATGAGAAGAGGGAAAATAGAACATGTTGTGACCACTGGAAAGATCTGTGGAAGGAGGGATAGAGGAAGACAAAGAGAGAAGATGCTTGACAGTCTTGTTGCCTGGCATAGAGGTGTGTCGGCACACGAACTGATACATGCTGCAGGAGATCGCAGATTATGGAGAGGCATGATCGCCCACGCCAGTCGGCAAGGCACCTGATGATGATGATGATGATGATGAGTCAGGGTTGACGCCCGACAAGGAGGGCCAACCGCAACATTCTAACAGTTCTAAAACCACGGGACATGACCTGCAGTCTTTCGTAAGACGTAGGCTGAGTTTGTGGGGGTGTTGTGTGGGGGCGGGGTGGGGGGGGGGGTGGGGGTTAGGACTAGTTTAAAATTTTCCGAAGTCATTAAAGGCGGTTACATCGTGTCATATAGAGCAGGTGTTAATGCTGGTAATACCTGAAACCCCTGTAAAATATAGGCGCGTGTGTGAAAGGTCAGGAAGAATAAATGAACGGCCAATGACGGTTTGCCTGGGCCGGACAACGTTAGTTATTCCAAAAAGTCTATAGTTTAAAGTGTTATCTTGTGTTTTCCTATTGTTATACTAGTGCTAAGTTTATTAGCTGCTATTGAGTTTGTTGTGTTCTGTTGCGTTCAAGTAGATTAACTTGACCAGTCATAGCCAATAGATTTTCGTCAGTCTGGCATCAATTATTGCTTTCTTTGTCTTCATAATTGATTTTCCTTTAAGGTTACAAATAGTTTCAAATAATGAGTTATCTAATGAAATCTTAACACGCTGGTCACCTTTGCTGTCAACTACTTTAAATTGAAACCAGGCTGTTTGACCGGGGAACAAGTCTTTTTTTTTTATCTGACTCAATGCACACTGTCAAAAACTGTCAAACATTTGGAAGTCAAGATCACTCAGCAACAACACGAAACTTAAGGTCTTCAATTCCTGTGTGATCCCAGTGCTAACTTATGGTTGTGAGAGTTGGAAATCATCAGTATCAATCGATAAGAAACTAGTCGCTTTCGAGAATAGATGCCTCCGAAAGCTATTGAACGTTCACTGGTCGGACTTTAGGTCCAATACATCTATAAGACAGGAAACAAAACAAAAATATGTGTCTGATTTTATTAGAATGCGTCGCTGGAATTACATCGGTCACGTACTCAGAATGGACAGTCAGAGACTTCCCCACCAAGCCTTCATATGGTCACCAGAGGGTAAAAGAAAACAGGGAAGACCAAAAGAAATAATGAGTTATCTAATGAAATCTTAACACGCTGGTCACCTTTGCTGTCAACTACTTTAAATTGAAACCAGGCTGTTTGACCGGGGAACAAGTCTTTTTTTTATTCTGACTCAATGCACACTGTCAAAAACTGTCAAACATTTGGAAGTCAAGATCACTCAGCAACAACACGAAACTTAAGGTCTTCAATTCCTGTGTGATCCCAGTGCTAACTTATGGTTGTGAGAGTTGGAAATCATCAGTATCAATCGATAAGAAACTAGTCGCTTTCGAGAATAGATGCCTCCGAAAGCTATTGAACGTTCACTGGTCGGACTTTAGGTCCAATACATCTATAAGACAGGAAACAAAACAAAAATATGTGTCTGATTTTATTAGAATGCGTCGCTGGAATTACATCGGTCACGTACTCAGAATGGACAGTCAGAGACTTCCCCACCAAGCCTTCATATGGTCACCAGAGGGTAAAAGAAAACAGGGAAGACCAAAAGAAACTCTCCGTAGAACCATCACAAGAGAGAGCTCAACCATAGGTCTCAGTCGCACTCAAGACCTACATCAGGTGGCAACGAACCGACGGACGTGGAAGGCTATGACCTCTGCCCTATGCGCCATCTTTGGCACAAGAGGAATAACTAACTAACTAACTAATGCACACTCGAATTCGAGCCCGCAAAAAAGAGCTTTACGACGCTCCCACGGCTCCCAACGACTATAGATGTATAGAGGTATGTGTCAAGTACCATACACTAAGCACACTGCAAGGTGTGGAAGCAAGTGATTAACTTATTTGATTTATCTTTCACTTTACACGCCTGCAGCTCGACCTAGCTGTAACTTCATGTCTGAAGTTTGTCCTACCTTTCACTTCACATACCTGAAGATTGTGTCTTGCTTGTCACCTCACATGCCTGAAGTTTGACTTACCTATCACTTCAACCACCTGCAGTTTCCTTACCTTTCACTTCACACACCCAGATGCAGTGTGACTTACCTATAACTTCACACACCTGCAGTTTGACTTACCTATCCCTTCATATAACTGCAGTTTGACCTACCTAACCCTTAACACACCCAGATGCAGTTTGACTTACCTATCACTTAACACACCTGTAGTTTGACTTAAAGATTATATCACATACCTGCAGTGCTACTTGCTACGACAACATTAACCATCAACAGCTTTCTTACCTGAATTCCAAAAAATAATGTTTTGCTTCGAAACAAGTCACTCTTGTCATGTTCCCTTCCTTCGTAATAGGTTCTCACCTGGCATTCCACCTGGACAGATAAATATAATTGTTGGATGTATCTATTATGGTGCAGAAAGAAAGCTTCTCTAGAAGACTAAAATCACGGAGTTACTACTGTTGGAACAGAAACAAAGCACAAGTTTAGAACCTGTGAAGAAATACGAAATCCTTTTTTTTTTTTTTTTTTTGCCAGAGCAACGTTTCCACTTATAAATTGTAAGTAAGAACACACTTTCAACTGATCGTAGTTTAATGCTTGGCATGTTTTATTGTATCTCATTCCCACCCAGTATTGTGTAGACAAAATAACCTGGTTGTAAATTTGTGTTTACTCTTGTCAAACCATCATTTATATTGGAGTGTGGTACTTGCATTTAAGATTAAATGATTTTTTTTTCTTCATTGTGTTTAATGCTGTAGTATACACCTGACAAGATACCGTTAAATAACCTGAAAATAAATGTGCAGTATTGTGTTTGTGTCTTCTTCGTCAAAATATAGATTTTGTATTATTTTGTGTTACCATATCTTGCTGCAAACACTGTCATTGCTGATGCTAATAATGTGAGTATTCAATCTCCCACGTGACATTTCACAGTTTTAGGATTGTGACAATCAATAACCACAATTATGTCAAACAAGAGCAACACAGATCACTCTACATCCTGGACAGAAGAGACAAATACTGAAATTATTGAACATATTTTTTTGTTTATTTGTGAAGCTTGTACAAGTATGGTGTGGCTAAGTCGATGCGAACGCTTCGTAATGCCGGGGTAGCGGCTTCGATCCCAGCTGCGGGCCATACGCCTTGTGTTGGTTTCGACGGTGGTATCAGGGAGCCGGCTGTCCAGAAGCAATGGCAAACTACTGGACGTAAATTTGACTAGTGAAACCACACAACAGCCAAGGCTGATGGGGTTGGTTCCGCATTGTCATGTAAAGGGTACGCAACTAACCCTTTTAAACAAATACAAGTATTATTTAACAAAAGAGAAATGTCACAAATCATAGCTGAGTTGTATCACAGCGGGGTAGTCTCTTACAGCTGGGTTGTCTCTCACAGCTGAGTTGTTTATCACAGATGGATTGTCTCTTACTGATGGGTTATCTCTCAAAGCTGGCTGTCTGCCACACTGGGTTATGCCTTACGGCTGGGTTGTCTTTCACAGATGGGTTGTCTCTCACAGCTAGGTTGTCTACGGCAGCTAGGTTGTCTCTCACAGCTGGGTTGTCTCTCACAGCTAGGTTGTCTCTCACAGCTAGGTTGTCTATCGCAGTTAGACTGTCTTTCACAGCTAGGTTCTCTCTCACAGCTAGGTTATTTCTCACAGCTGGGTTGTTTCTCACAGCTGGGTTGTCTCTCACAGCTGGGTTGTCTCTCACAGCTAGGTTGTCTCTCACAGCTAGGTTGTCTATCGCAGTTAGACTGTCTTTCACAGCTAGGTTCTCTCTCACAGCTAGGTTATTTCTCACAGCTGGGTTGTTTCTCACAGCTCGGTTGTCTGTCACAGCTGGGTTGTCTCTCACAGCTGGGTCTTCCATCACAGCTGTTTTGTCTATCACAGCTGGGTTGTCTCTCACAGCTGAGTTGTCTCTCACAACTAGGTGGTCTATCACAGCTAGGTTGTCTCTCACAGCTGGGTTGTCTCTCATACCGGGGTTGTCTCTCACAGCTAGGGTGTCTACGCACAGACTGACTGAAAATGTGAGAGTTCAATGCCGACCTGGCGTGGCAATGGTTTTATCTTAATCTGTTAACTTACTATCAGCTAAAATTAACGATAGTGATAATCACAAAAGTAAAACATAAAAATAAAAAAGAACCAGCAATTAATCGGTGTAACTTTAGAAGAAGAACTTACTTCTTTGTCTTTATGATTTTGCAGCTGTTGAGCAGTCAGGGTGGCAACTCTTTCAGTGCCTGCCAGAATCCTGGTGTTGATGCTAGGATCTGGCTTTCCGTCAAATGTCCATGTGACCTCAAACCTTTGTTCCACTTCGTTCTTGTCATACACAATCTGGCACGTGAGTTGCACTGTTTGGTCATCGTTAACGACGGGGCCTTTAAGTTCTGGCGTAGTCTTCAGTAACGGAAAAGGATCTGTGAGAAAAAAAAACAGGTCTGTGTTTATTTGCTGCAGTACAACTAGATTACAACTTTAGACATCCCCGAGGAGCACCGCACCTATTAGTAACTTCCATTTAAGATCACCCTACATCAATGATACGCAAAAGAAACTGATATCCCCCCCCCCCCCACCCCATTTTCACCTAAAGGGTAAAATATAACACTCGGTCTTTTTCCCAGGTAAAAAGGGTACCGGTACTCACCATAGAATGTGTAATAAAAGGTGCCGACACACTACAAAGTGTCTATTACAGTAGTGCTGACAAAAATGATGCCTTATAATTATGCCGTTACTGTGGGGTGGGTA